TATATACATATATATAAGAGGATTTTTGGAACAAATCCTGTATATGTATTCAATTTTTTTACATAATCTTTATGAAAAACAAGATAAATCATCTTACTTATCATATAAAAGAAGATGCCACAGTATAGAAGGATTTCTGTTTTAAAAATGGAACTTCTGCAACCCATAAATTTTTTTAGAGTATAATAAAATCTATTGCCTAATATCAAATTCTACTTTTATATCAGCAAGCAAAGTTGAAAAAAAAATCATGTTTGAAGTTTTACCGAAGTGACGACCGGATTAGCGGCTCCTTCTCCCCTCCCCCTCTTACTGCCTCGCTCACTCTCTGCCTCTCTCGCCACAGCGTCGACACTTCGGTAAAACTTCAAACATGATTTTTTTTCAACTTTCCTTGCCGATAAAAGATTGGAATTTAGTATATGGGCGATAGATTTCATCAGACTCTAAATGAATTTATGAGTTTCAGAGATTTCATTTTTAAGGCAGAAATCTTCCTATTTCGTGGACATCGTCCTTTGAAAGCTTTAAACTATAAACTTGAAATCACTAAAAGGCGGTTAACATATGTGCAGATAATACTGAATTATTAAGCAATCAAATGTTTTATATATTTTGAAAATTTACACATTGCTTATTCTTATTTTTTATTTACTTATTATCATAATTTGAAATCTTAAGAAAAGGTTTTTTAATATTTTTAAAGTAAGTATATCTGTTCTTATTGTCTACATTTAATAGCGAATTCAATTACACGCTCTAGTGTGCACTGTGGTACATATTGTTACACTTTCTACAAAAATGTATTCTAATGTAATCTTAATGTACAAGTGAATTGCTATTTTGCATTATAAAATATACATAAGCTTTTAATTAGTGATGTAAGATTTAATTATTATAAACTGTTATTGTGTTTGATGAACAAGAATTATTTAATTGCTGAATAAAGTTCCATGTTATTGCAATACAATTGATAATTTTTGTCTTCATAATATTTTATTTTATATAGATATTTTGTAGAATATAAATGTTTCGTTAAATTCTTGTGATTAAATTACTGAACGATGGCAGAATAATTGAACTTATAGTCGAATAAAAGACTTATTGCGCAGAAATTTTTTTAATTCAAAAGTTATGATCATGTAATCCGTTTATTCTTTGTTATCATCTTTTCAGTATCACTTTCTCTAATTTTGCAATGTTATCAATGCAGATAAGTATCCCATTGCCGTTTTAATAGCCTAAATAGAATACAGAATATAAATTTTATATATAATCATGATGAACACTGGAAATAAAAAATGTATCTACATATGTATACATAATATAGATATACATAATATAAATATATACATGTATGTACACATATATAATTTATGTAATTTATATATATGTAAATTTTATGTGTGTGTGTGTGTGTGTGTGTGTGTGTGTGTGTGTGTGTGTGTGTGTAGATTTTTACATAAAAATACAAATTTATGCAATTATTACATTGTTTTTTTTTCTTTATAAAATAAAAGTAAGAATGCTTTCAGGGATTGTAAATTGGTCACTCTGTATATAACAAAACAAAAAAATAAAAATAATATTTAATTTATATATATAATAATTATAAAAATATTTGCATTTTTATGCAGATACATATACAGATACATATACTCATATCATAATCACATATAGAAAGATAATAATATTTCTTTCTATATTCTATATATATGTAGATACATCTTACTATTCCAAACATCTCTAATGAAAGGATCCCGAATTTTCCAGCTGTCAATTTAAGAGGAATTGTAGATCGATATACAATCAACATTAAATCTTTTGCATTTTTTGATGGTATACCATACCACTTGCAGTCATACACTCCGTACGCCATGTTAGTGCTCTGAAAATTTTGATTTTTTTGCATAGGTTGCATTAACGTACATAATTGCTTTACCTCTGCCATAAGTTTTTCAGCTGAGTAGCAATATGTATAGAAGTGCGTCAATATAAATGTTATATAAAATAAGAGAAAAAGCATTCGGACAATAGGTATTTTCAAATTATCTGTTATCATCTG